CGAGGTACAAAAGCCGGGCGCTCAGAGGCGGCCGGCCTCGCGGAAGAGGCGCAGCAGCGGCTCGTCGTCGCGCAGGGCGCAGGCGAGCGCCCGCCGCTGGTAGTGGCGCCCGTCGCGCGCCACGTTGTCCAGCACGTCGGCGAGCAGGTGGGCGCGCTCCACGGCGCAGCCCGGCGCCTCGTGGCCCAGCGCCGTGAAGTGCACGTGCAGGTGGTAGTAGGAGGGCGGGTAGTGCAGGTAGACGCGCAGCTGCGAGGCGGCCACGCCGAAGCGCCCGGCGATGGCGGCCTGCGGAGCGGGACGCGGGGCCGGGATAACGGGAAGCGAGCGGCGCCGGAGCTCCCCGGCGCGGCCCCCGCGCCCTTCTCCGTCGCCTCTCGTGTTCCCGGCCCGCGGGGCAGGTGACGGCATCGCGTTTCAAGGCGCCGTAACCGAAGCCACGGAGCGCTCGGCGCGGCTCCCCGCTAATCTCCCCGGGCATCTCCGCTGCCCCCGGCGCGATCCCTTTCCCATTTTCCACGGCGCGGGCGCCGCTCACCTGCCCCTCGCGCAGGATGTTGCGCAGCAGCGGCAGGTGCTCGGCCGTGACGTCCCGCAGCGACATGAGGTCCCGCCGGCGCACCAGGGCGATCAGGTAGAGGTCGTCCAGCTGCGGGAGGCCGGGGGCGCCCCGCTGCCCAATCCGGCCGCGTTCCCCCCCAAACACACCCGCGTGTCGCCTCCCAAGGGCCGCGGGCGACGCGCGGAGCCCCACGGAGCCGCCACCAACCTGGCTCTGGTTCCACTTGAGGTCGGGCAGGAGCACGAAGCCGTCCTGCGGGTCCGGGTTCTCGTAGACGATGCGCTCGGCCTCCGCCTTCTTCTCCAGGATGTTGTAGACCCACTGGCAGCGCGAGGGGCGGCGTGAGCGCGCGCACGGAGCGGGCGGCGCCGCGGAGGCCGCGGAGGAGGCCGCACCTGGAGGCTGAGCGCCTGGGCGCGCACGAAGGGCAGCGTGATGCGCTCGTAGTCGTCGGCGCTCTCGCGCACCAGGTGCACGGGCTGCCGCAGGTACTTGCGCAGGTGCTTCTCCGTGGCCGGGTACACCACGGTCGCCTTGATCTCTGCGGAGCGGAGCGGAGCGGAGCGGAGCGTCACGGGCCGGGCGGGAGCGTCTCCCGGTGCCAGGAGCATTTCCCGATGCCGGGGGCACGTCCCGACATGGGATGTGGGGCAGGAGTGCATCCCGACACGGGATGTGGGGTGGGAGCGTATCCCAATGCTGGGTGCGTATCCCGACGTGGGATGCAGGGTGGGAGCACATCCTGATGCCAGGAGCACATCTCAATGC